CATTTTAAAGGTGCCAGGGAGTTAAGCCTTTGTTGCTGGGAATTCTCCTCATTGGCTAACAAGAATGGGATTGGAGATATTTGTCATGGAGATTGCAGAGGAGATTCAGGACCACCTAGCAAGAGGGACCCGAGGGTCCAGTCCACTCTCTTTTTTAGTCCCCACAGTGAATCCTTGGTCCCTCCTCACCCCAAGGAGGAAAGGCCCAAGACACCCATCCAGACACCCTGAGAGTCTCCCAGCATCCTCGCTTCTTCACCACTAGGTGGCCTAGCGAGACAGCAGACTGCAGGGGTCACAGCATGAGTCCATGGAGTGGCTTCCCACACAGTGCATCTCTGGTACCTGAGGGACAGCTGTGGTGGCTTCCAGGGGAGGGCAGCTGTGTGCTTGCAAGACCTGGTTCCCAGGAGAGCAGGGCAGGGAATAGCGTGGCTCCTCAGTGTTCATTCAGGAGAACAGTTTGTAGCTCAGGGCAGAAGGGATCCAACAAGCCATACCTAGCACCTGACACCCAGAGCCTGGCTGAGGACCAGCTCGGGTACTCAACAAGCTGGGATGGGCTTTCAAAGTGGGTGTCCAGGCTGTGGGGTCCAGAAAGCTTCCAGGAAATGTCTCAGTCACAGAGGACAATTTAAGAATTGTGACCAAGGCAGAGTAAAGACTCACTGCGTTTGGGTCCTTGTAGGTCCCTGCCTGGTGTTACAGGCTCTGGACCCATCCTGTGGGTGGGTGACAAGGACAGGAAGAAAATTAGCAGATAAGTACTCAGATGAGCAGGCCGGGTCCTGGCTTCCCCCAGTTCCCGGCCTCAGAGTCCAGCTGCTTATCTCAGAGGGAGGAGTCCCTTGGTCAGGCCTCCCTCTGCATAGTCCTTAGCAGGCCAGAGGCTGTCATCTCTTATCCAAGGGAAAATAGCCCTCCAACTAGAGGGTCCCTTATAGACCAGAGTGCCTCCAACCCCCCAGAGTTCCCAGAGGCAACTGCCCAGGTAACCTGAGGCAGCAGACAGAAAAGGCCGTGCAGGAGCAAGTAAGTGAAGAGTCAGACAAATAAACAATGGCATGGAAAATAGAAGCTACAGGCAGGTGCTGGAGGGATGGATGGACAGGCCCATAATGGACAGGTGGCAGGAGGCATCACAATGAGCAGACATCCTGGTAAGGAGGAGCTAGGGGAGGGAGTGGTAGGGAGCATGGGGTAAGAACATGGGCAGCTCCAAAAACTGACTAAAAGGTAGACAAAGCTAGGTCTGAAAAATGTATTTTATTGAACCATTGTAGGTTTATATAAAACTTACAAAGATAGCAGAGTTCCCATTGGCCCCACACTTCCCCCTCTTACAAGCTGTGAAGGTAGATAGGAAAAGCGGGCTGTTTCCCCTACTGAACTCAGAACCCTGGATGCAGCTGTGATCTAATGTTGGGAATTACTTTACACACTGAGCCAGGAGTCAGTTCTGCAGTGGATGCCCCCGGGGGCATCCTTAACTCACCTTTAACACTGTCTACCTGGAGATGAGGTCAGATCATAAGGTTCTCAGTCTCCCAGACTGTCCTTTACTGGGTGTAGTGGCATACACCTGAAATCCCAGCATTCAGGAGGCTGAGGCAGGAGGATTGCCACAAATTCGAGGCCAGCCTGGACTATATAGCAAGACTGGGGTTATAGCTCAGTGGCACAGGGCCTACCTGGCAAGAGCAAGGTCCTGAGTTCCATTCCTTGTACAAAAAAAAAAAAAAGCATAGTGAGATCCTGTCACATACAAAAAAACCAAAACAACAACAACAACAACAACAAAAGACTGCCCATCGCCAGGTATCAGTCACAGCCCCAAGTGGCCAGGTTGTTACCTGCACTTCTAACCTACAAGCTATACACTGGGGCTCCTACTTTGGGTTCCATTAAGTTTGTAGGGGTGGGGAAGAGAGCTCAGGCCCACACTTTATTACAGAGAATGTTACAAAGGACCAGATAAGACACCCAGGGTGAGGCACCTGGAAAAGCGTGCAGAGCTCCCATGCCCTCTCTAGACCCACTACCCTCCAGGGACCTCACCAGCTTCAGGAGTCTGGAAGCTCCCTGAACTTTGTCCTTTAGAGAGTTTGTGACAGAGGCATGGGCACTGGTGATCAGTTTAACCTTTCGTTGCTGGCCTTCCCTGGAGATGGAGGGATGGGACTGAGAATTCTACCTTCCAATCTTGCCTTGATCTTTCCTATCACCAGCCTCATTCTGCAGTTACCTGTGTCTCCAGCCACCAGTAAAATCATTTGCACGCAGAAGATACTCTTGCAACTCTGGCGATTTCCAAAGGTTTTCAAAGCTGTGGAACAGGAAACCAAATACACATAATGTTTCACTGGATTACAACCACAGTGACCACAATATCTCCACCACGTCTTGTGCTGGTGCAGAGTAACTGTCACAATCTAAAAACTCATATTGATACACTGACAGTTTCTCTCTTCGATTTAAGCTGGGTAATTTTGAGGGGGTACCCTGGGAGTCCCTGGGTTTCTACTTGTCTTGTTCTGAGGTTAGAGTGAGGCTTCACATCACCTCTCACTCTGGGTCCCCACTGTCATTATGCCTCATAATGACATTGCCTTGATCTTCTAGATGTGTATGCGTGTATGTGTGTGACATCTCCACGGTACAGTGACGAAGTCCCCTTTCCAGGAAGGAATTTATTATGCATTAACCATGCATAAGGCCTGGGGTTATATCTCTCCAACTTGGCAGTGGAGTATTTATATCATTTATTTGAAATTCTTCTGCTTGTCAAGCTTGCCTTTGCTTCCTAGTTTAAATATTCATTCAGTTATTTATATTGGTATGAATTCACAGAAGCTTTTAAAGTGGCAGATCGTAATCTAATACTATGCTATTTTTTATGTTGTTGTTGCTCAAACTTTTTCCAGCTTTGGCCAGCAGATCTGTTTCTACTGGATCCTGTGACAAAACTATTTTTAATTAATCAGTTAACTATTATATGGAGGAATATCAGTACACGCCCACCCTGACATTTTGAACATAAGGGCAGAAGGAGGACAGGCCAATTGCCGTTGTGCCTGACCCTCTAGACAGGGTCCATGGGCAGATACGAGTGCTCTGGGCCAGCTCCATGATGCCCAGAGCCAGTCCCTATCTGGCTCCCTTGGGCCGGTACTGCCTTCTACAGCACGTGGGCAGCCCCCAGAGAGTCCAGAGAAGATGGGCAAGAAGATAGCAGGCAGTAGCTTCTGTTGACCTGCCCCTCCTGCTTGCAGGGGTTCCACTAGAACAAAGGTGATGGTCCCTGCAACACACCAGCTCCCTGGCCCTGCTCTGGGGTCCAGGAGAGAGGACTGTAATAAGACTCGTGTCCTAGATCACCTGACCTGGGGCTCTGGCTACTTTTAGAAGATACAGTAAGGCCACCTGTGCAGGATTTCTAGCACCACTCTGAAAGCTTTCCACGTTCAGTCCAGAGGCTTTGCTGTGTTCAGGCTACTTTCTGGATGTTCCCCAGGGCTGCCGTTCAAAGCAGTGAGAGGCAGACTGTTCCAGGAATGAGCAAGACACAGCAGTGACAGCTTATCTCCACTGGAGACAAAGCTGAATGCGCTGGCCCTGCACAGTCCCTGGGCCTCACGCACTGCAGACCTACCTGGACCCCTGCCTGGGCCACACCTGGGCTGGCCTCCACCTGGAACCATGTGAGCTAAAGGGAATACTTGGGGGGCTGGGAGGGATGTGAGGTCCCGCTTGCCCTCTTCTTAGGCAGAGTGAGGGAAGAAGGGGCCACAGCAATGTTCTCTAGTGACAGCCTTCCCTTCCTTAGCTGGTAACCAGCCTAAGCCACCTGTTGCTCCTGAGAGCAATGCTGGTAGCTGTGGGAACTGCTGGCCAGCATCGAGCCCTGTTCTGCCAGCTTCTAAAAGACTCAGGGGTCACTATACTCACAACTCTCTATGCCCCCAGGTCCCCTCATGTCTAGCACCCCACATAAATAGACATGGAAGAGGAGCAGAGCACAGTAGAGCCCACCCACCAAGGGCCAGCACTAAGCAGGGCCCCAGCATTTCAGAACAAACAGAGTCAACCCAACTGTGGTTTCGCGTAGCACACTGATGTCATGTGAAGGTGTGATCCTCGTGGTCTGGGTTTGCCAAATTGTCTTTATCTGTTGCTTACATCACTTAGTAACAAAGGAGCCCCACGTGGTATGAGTGAGAGACCCAGCCCACTCACAAGGTCCCAAGATGCTCTTTTTAGTCTCCTCATTGGTACCTTGAAGACACTGAAAACCAAATTACCATTTCAAAAGTGTAGTTGTCAAGACAGGCTTAGTGGCGCGGTCTGTAATCCCAGAACTCAGGAGGCTGAGGCAGGAGTAACTCCATGAGTTTGAGGCCAGCCTGTGTTACATTGTGAATTCTAGGCCAGCCTAAACTACATAGCAAGACCCCGTCTCAAAAAACCAAACAAAACAAAAGTGTAAGAGAACATTTCAGATGGTATTCTTTATAGAGTTTTACTAATGGTATCAGATTAGGCCCTGTCTCCCAAATTCCTTTAAGGATTAGTTCCCAGGCAGGACTTCTAGGGTGTAACCTCTCACCCCACTTGCATACCCCACTGCAGGGAGGCCGTCCCTCCCCAGGCACCCTCTGCCTTAGCTACCACACCCTGGCCCTGGCCTGGCCACAGTAGGAACAAAGCCACACCCACTGGGGAGGCCTCCATATCGGCAAATGCCCTGGTGTCTTGGGCCAGGCTGTGGGCAGCAGGGGTGCAGGAGCTGGCCCCAGAAACACTGGCCCTCCCCTTCCTGCCTGCCCTTCTCCAGGGCACCCAGGCACTCTCTTGTAGGGGTTGTGTTGACAGATGGGCGGACACAGCCTCCCTCTTGGGCGGGCAACTGTGGTCAGAGGTCCCCACCCAGCAGGAAACCACAGTAGTGGGGAAGAGAAGAAAAGGCAGGGGAGGGGACGACTGGAGAGGGAGGAGAAGAGAGGAAAGGAAAGGAGAGGAGAGGAGAGGAGAGGAGAGGAGAGGAGAGGAGAACAGAGGAGAGGAGAGCAGAGGAGAGGAGAGCAGAGGAGACGAGAGGAGTCCACCATGAGGCCTGGGAGTCGGGTCAGGGCTGCCAAATGCCAGATGCTGGCTACGAGCTTCTTCATCTTGGTAACAAGCAGGATGGGCAAGAGGGTGGATGTAGGGAGGCCAACATGCTGGTATGTGGGGTCACCCTCTATGTGCACATACCAGCCCTCCTGCCTTTACCTGTCCTGCAGTCTTGATCCAAGACCCCTGATCATGGGCCCAGCAGGCTATGTGCATCCGGGCAGGATGCCTCTGGGCAGTGTCCACCCTTCTGAGGAACCTGGGTTGGGCCTCGGGCTTTGGATGGAGGTGACCTAGGATGAAGTGTAGGGAACGGATGCTAGCTGCCTGGGCTCTAGGGCTCTTTTTTCTGCCTCAAGGGGCACTCTCACTGGACTGGGGAAGGTCTAGGGCTGCAGGGCTCTGCAGGCAGATTGATGCAAGGTTCTGGGTCCCCAAGGGAGCTGTGCAATGGCTGTGAGTGTACACCTGCTTGTCAGTATTTGTGTGCGGACATGTGGGTGGGGGGAGGTGTCTAGGGCAAAGACTTCATTGACAGCACTAACCCTAACCCTGCGAGACCAGGACCCTGGAGCAGGCCTGACTTGGGCTCTGGGAGCCCACATCTTGCCTTTGGGAAGGGTAGAGGGGTGCTCTGTGGCTGTCCTCAGCCCTGAGCCCATGCTCTGAGCCTGCCCCACCCACAGCTGTTGGGCTTCTCTGTGGCCACCATGGCAGTTCTCATGTACTGTGGAGATCGTTTTGCCGTCATGCACCACGTGTCCTTGGAGAAGAGCCCGTATGATGCTGTGCACCACTGGGGTGAGTGTGCTCAGGGATGGGCAGAGCATAGGTGGCTGGAGCAGGTCTGGACTAAGGATGAGGTCCCAGATACTAGGCCTTAGGTGATCAGAGGAGCTGGCTGGGAAGAACCAGGGGCCTAGGCAGGGAAAGACAGCCCTGGCATCTGGCTCCACTGAACAGAAGCTGGGTCTGGGCAAAGGCTGGTGTCCTAAGCCTACAATCCCCCAAGTGTATGGAACAGCATAGTTGTTCTGGTTACATCAAACCCGAGGTCCTGGTTTTCAGTACTTGACTGTGATGGGGGCTGCCTTGAGCAGGGCCTGTGGGACTCAGCAGTGGAACACACAAGGTTCATAAGCAGAAAATGCCAAGAAAGGGCCCGAGCAAGAAGGCTGCTTTCATGAGAGGACATCGCAGGCTGAAGCACCCAAGGAAAGTAGCTGCCAAGTAGGCAAAGGCAGGGGAAACTGAATGTTGGCTTGGTGGACCCAGCCCCCACCCCCCACCCCCCCACCCCCCGCCTCCTGTCTCCCAAAGCTCTGAGCCTCCCCAGAGCAGGAAGCCTGAGGCTTGACTTGGACTGATAAGGTCACAGCCCCACAAGCCACCTGTCATAAGGGTGTAGAGTTATGGCTTGAAAATAATCTCCAGGCAGAGAAGGCAAAGCAAAAAATGGGGGAAGGGGCTTTCCTTTCCTTTCTTTGGGAAGAAAGAGGTCGCTGGGCAGTGAGAGGCATGTCCATGTTTGAAGGGGAAAGGAGGCTCATTCAGAACTGCCCCAGAAGTCTAGCACCCATGACCCTGGAGATGGAGTTCAGGGGCAGATTCTGCTTCAAGCCCTGTCCCGGTACCCCAGTACTCTTCTTCTCTCTTCTTCTGCAGTGTTCTCTGTGGGGATCAGCCTGGCAGCTCTGTTGATCCTGGGGGCTTCCCTGAGCACCACAGCTGCTGTGAAGGAGGCCCAAGGCCTCATGGCTGGGGTGAGTTCTCTCAAATCCTTGACCTCCCATCCCGCAGGTCCCTCCACCAAGGACAGTTGTGACCCCACTCCCCTCCCAAGGCCACTTGGACTCTCCATGTGGGCCCTACTTTACTTCATCTTCTTTGTAGCTTGTAATGGTCCTACAGGAACCCTGAAAAGCAAAGCTGGTCTTCTCATCCCTGAAAGCTACTCTCAAAGGCTCTGGAAACCACCCCCCAAAGACTCTGAGAACACCTGGTTCAGTTACCCAGCAGTCTGTGGGGATGGGGTTTAGGGGAGGCTCATTTTCCATTGGGAGGAGACCAGAGAGGGTCAGAGAAGTAGCCTCTGTGGAGCCCTCCAGCCTGGATCCACTCCAAAGCCTCACGCTTTCCAGCTATCAGATGGTTCTCCTGCACCTCCAGAGTCACTAGACCTCCTCTTGGCCACCCTTCCTGCCCCTGTCCCACTCTGCCCTCCCTTCTCATCCAAGCTTAGTAATCTCTTCCCTGATTCCCTGGGCTCCCACCTGTTCCCCCACTCCAGCCATGACATCCCACTTCCAAGTTCCAGTCCCACAGACCCCTGCTCCTGCACGTTGGCCTATTCTACCCTGCCCTGTAAATGGTTCATGAGGTTAGAGACCCTTGAAAGCTTGTGCTTGGGGCTTCGCTTCCTGGGTGGGTTGTAGATCTGGGCCTTACTGGACTCCCAAAGACACAGTTTCCTGGATTTACAAACTGGGAGGTTCCCACCCAGCTCTCATGTTCAGCCCAGATTTGTTCAGGACCCCTGGACCACAAATGTCCCCAAGAACACAGTCAGAATCATCTCTTGGAGCCACTTCAGCAAGCTGGCTCTTGGGTGAGCTCGAGGGAGCTGAGCAGCATCCACAACTCCAGCCTCACCAAGATTCCCCCTTTGGGGACACAGGAGCGAGAGAGGGACGGTGCCAGCCATGGACATGCACTAAAACCTAGGCTTGTGCAGCCTGGCTTTTGGGTTGAGGGGGAAGCCCCAATGAGAAGGTGACAGGGCTGGGAGACTGTGCCCCTCAAGGGTGTGTGCTCTGCCAAAAGACACTGGGGCAAAGACAAGGCTGAAAGCCTGCTAGGCCTAGGTCTGAAAGTGTCCTGCAGGAAGAGGCAGCATCAGCCACCAGGTGGCACTGGAGAGCAGGGTTTGAGGCCACAGGGCAGAATACTAAAGACTACCCCAGGTCTGTGCAGCCCAGCCTTGAGACCTTCCCTAGGCCTGTGCTTGGCATTTGATCTGTGGGTGTGGACATCAGGGAGCACCCGAGATTTCACTTCTGCATCTGTAGCAGGACTTAAGGCCTAGGGATCCATTATATGGGTCTGCTTATAGGAAAAGCCTCGAGTCCCCCAGCCAGATGGCTGTGCAGGTTGGGCTCCTGGGACCACTCCAAGCTGTTACCAGCTCTGATACACCCAGCCTACTCGATGCACTCAGCCATGGCCACTACAGGGTCACTGGGACACCACCCTGACACCTGTTCCACTAAGCTACAAGTGGGGGCGGGACTGCGGCTCTGCATGGATGTGTGCCCTGTGTACGTGTGTGTGTGTGTGTGTGTGTGTGTGTGTGTGTGTCTGCCTACACTTTTGTCCCTTGCCTTCACATGCCTTGGCTGCAGCTCCTGGGAGGCTGTCTCTAGCCTGCTTCTGGTGTGTCTGCATGTGCAAGCGCATGTGAAGGGGAACAGGGAGTGGAAAATTTTTTTCTGTCTTCCCTGGTGCCCAGCTGTCCCCTCCCTGCCCCTTCCTGCCCCCACCTCCTACAGCCTCCAGCACAGGAAATGACAGCAAGAGCTGGCCCAAGACAGCCAAACTGGCTGCAGCAGCCCAAGGAAGCTGATTCCAATTGTCCATGGATTTATTTACTTATGTTCACTTGTGATGAGGAAGAAGAAAATGCCCATGATTTCTTGGCCCCCTACAGCAGCCTCTGCACTGTGGAGGCCTTGGCGAGCCTGGGTGGGCCTGTCCACTGCCCCAAACCCTCTCAACTGGGTTGGGGGGGTTGGTGCAATTTCTCCTAAGGAATGAAATGGTTTCTGGAAAATGCTGGTTTTCCGAGCTGGCTCATGGCCTTGAGCCTGGGAGGCAGCACTGAGCGATGGTTTCCAGATGGTGAACATGGCCTGGGGGTGGGGTGGGGGACGAGGTAGAAGATGGAAAGAGAGCAGGGGAGGAGGGGGAATGTGCATTTTCAGAGGACGAGTCTGTAATGTCCATCAGCATCTTCGAAGGAGAGTTTCAGAAGTCTGGACTCTGACTAGAGAAAGAAAGGCGGAGTGAGGAGTGACGAATGGGGAGCATAGGCCCCGAGAGCCTCATGTGACAATGTGGAGGAAGGGTAGGGAGCTCATCTTGACAGGGTGTGGTCAGTACACTGGCTGCCGTGGGCCATGGTTTTGAGTGAGCTCAGGTATGGGTGTTAGGGTATCTCTAGAGTCAGGTCTCAAAAAACAAAGTACCATGCTCCATGTGTGGGAGGCACCTAGCTCCCTGCCTTAAAGAGAGAAGTTTCTTCTCCCAGGCACAGGGTTATGCTGCCCCACCCTCTTGGATGAGCTACAGTGATCAGAGGTCTCCGATATCCTGTGGATTCACTGTGTTCCTCAGGCAGGAACTATGATGCTGTGGTTGATAGCAGACCCCAAAGAATAGGAAGAATTTCCAGAAAGGGCCATAAGAGATGGAAAAGGAGCCGGCCACCCAAGATCTCCTTGCTACCTGAGGTCTCCTCTTTATCAGTGAGGAGCAGGGCTCAAACCCCAACTTTAACCAAACCTCATGGGGGTGTGCACCGTCTACTCAGGCAAAAGACTCTTATGGGGCTCCTGTGACCCAGCCTCCTTCCATCCCCAGGGCTTCCTGTGCTTCGTTCTGGTGTTCTGTGCCCTACTGCAGGTAGCCTATTGGAAATTCCACAGCCCCACCCAGGTGAGTGCCAGGGGCCCCACTCTGCAGCCCAGGGTCCCCAGCAAGGAGCAAAGGCTAGGGAGGCCTCTCTAGGTGTGTCTGTCTGCATGGTGGAGGAAACTGGGGACAGGGAGCAAGGCAGGCAGTGCAGAGGTCAAAGTGCTGGGGTCCTCTCCAGGGCCGCTCGCTGGGGAGGGAAAGAGAAGCCCAGCCCCTGACCCCCTCTTTTTCCTGAGGCCCTCTCAATCTGCCCTTTCCACTGGAAGAATCTCCTGGGAGCTCAGGAAAGCAGTGAGGACGAACAAGGCCTTGCTTGGGAGAGACTGATTGGAGGGGTAGAATGTTCCAGAAAATACAGAGCAAGACCATCATCCTGGCTCAGACCTGGGCTGTGTGGCTCTGCCTCACTCACAAGATGGCATCCTTTCCTTCCTAGACATTGACTAGCTTGGATATGGGGCTGACCCAATGACTCCCAGGACCAGGGTCCTAGGATTCCCTACTCAAAGGCCAGTGAGTTGGAGAGGGAGGAAGTTCTCCCTGGTCCCCAGCAATGGAAACACTGGTGACAGAATTCAGGGCCCAGATCACCCCTTTGAAAGCCCAGACCAGGAGAAAGATTGGGGAAGCCCCCAAAGCTTCAGGACCAGCAGAAAAGTCCAGCAGGACCCAGGCACCCATATGTTCCATGTATTAAACATCCAGTTCCCCATGCATCACCCCCAAACACAATAGTGCCCACGAAAGACACAGGCTCCAGAGGGTGCCTGGGCAGGTAGATGACTGGCTTGTCTCTGTGGAAACTCAAGCTGTGAGCCTTCATGCTGATAGTGGCCACACTGGCATCCTTGAGCAGTGACTATGGGTCATTCCCATGGGGTGCAGATGGATAGACACGGGTCTTTTTGGGTTACCTTGTCAGTGTCAGGATGGGAGAAGGCTCCAGGCTCTTTGTCCAGCATTGCTGCCTCATTTCCCCTCCCTGCCCAAGGGTTTCCCCAAAGTGCCGACCCACCCCACCCCAGACCAAGATTTAAAGGAAAATGCCACTTCCTCCAGCCCAAAGGATCTGGAAGAGGGTCCAGCCCTTAGTGACTGTGCTTTGGGGGAGGGGTGTTCAGCAATCCCACTGTGGGCGAAGCAGGTCAGGCCAGCATTTTGGTGTCACATTTCCTGTCCACCGAGGGGTGGTCCAGCAGGTTGGAGGTCTGGGTCACAGCATGGGTGGCCTCTTTGAAGACAGTTGCCAGGTACCCTGGGGCCTGCCTAAAGTCTCTCAGCCCGTGCACCCGAGCTCTGAAGCTGTGTGTTTATACGCTGAGCCTGGAGGGAAGGAGGCCTTACAGGGGCCACAGGACAGAACCCAGCTGGGGCCTGCTTACTGGGAAATGGAAGGTATGAACCGTGGGCGGCTCCCAGCTGAGGCTCTTCTCCAGCCTGCTTCAGCCCCACACTCCACCCCCACACTATCAAATGTCCTCATCCTGCCCATGCCATGGCACAGCCCTCAGAACAGTCCTCCAGCCCCTCTGTAACCCCAGGTGGTAGGGCTTCTCTCTAGGCCTTCCTCTCTAGGGAGGGTACCTACTGCCTGTCCTGTGGGTTTTAATTTCTAGCATCATCCATGTGTGGATGTCCAGGCCCTTCAGGCAGACGGGTGGCTTGAGTGACAGGGCTCTAACTTTAAAGTCATAGGTTTGTATGACACACTCTGTGAGTTCCCCAGGCCTTACCTTCCTTGTCTGTGAAAAGCATGCTGAGACCCTTATTCAAGGGGCTGTCCCCTTGATTCCCTCACTGCCACCAGACAATGGATCCTCCATAACGTGGGACAGTTCAGAGTTGTCATGGGCTTAGATGAAGTGTGTTTGCTACCAAGCCACAGCTCTGAGCAAGAGAGGCAGACAAGACTCCATGCTGTCTCCATCCAACCGTGGGGCAAGCCAAAAAAGATTTCAGTCCTGAGCCTATTCACAGTCCCTAGCGGCAGTCCTTTGGGAGAAAAGGAGAAAGTACTCAGACTCTATCCTGGTAAAGTGGATGTGGGAACTGAGGGTACCAGGCCCTTTCAGCCCATATTCCCCCTACGCTTCCCCAAAGGGATCCCTAAGATATCCAGAAACAAGGGATCCAGACTCTAGAAGATACAGACCTTGGCTCAGGGTGGGAGTGGGGAGCCCCTCACACATCTCCCAAGAGCTTCCACTCACAGACTTCCTTGTCTGCCACTTCCTGGGACACTGCAGTCTTGGCAGGAGCCCCAAGGCTGGCGAGGGCAGCAATGCAGACCAGGCCTCCGTGCAATGAATACAGAGTGTGAGGGCTACTAATTATGCTCTCACCACAACCTGACAGCCACTTGCCGCAGCTCCCCTGCCAGTCCCAGATGAGACTTCAAGTCTGCATCAGGGAAAATGGATTGCCTGGCTCTTTTAATAATTCATGCCAGACAAGCACAGTGTGTGAGGTGCAGCCTCAGATCAGGCATATTGTTTAGCCTCCTGGGGGCCTGACATCCCTCCCTGAATGTTCTAGCCAGGCCCTAGGGCAGTCTGCAGACCACCTGCAGCTCCTCGCTGGGTCTTTCCCCAAGCCCCAGGCTTGGCAGGGGAGAGGGAGATATCAGAAAGTGACCAAGCCATGACAGGCATCAGGAATGACCTGGGCTTGGGGACAAGTCCTAGACACCCTGTCTGCAGCTGCTTGAGAAACACATTGTCTGATGAGCTAAAGTCCTTGCAGCAGGAGACCTTCCTATCTCTGCAGTTCCAAACTCTTCCAGGGAATGGCCCATGGACAACTAGTAATTGAGGCTTGGAGTCCCAGCACTGGGTAAGAAAGTCACCACTGGCCCATGCTATTTTCTCATGAGAAACATGGGCTTCAATCTCCAACAGAGCCCCACTGAACCCCATAACTAGGACAAATGTGAAATATGAAATACCAGCCAGGAGGCTGGGGATTTAGCTCAGTGGCATAAGCACCTGCCTTACAATCAGGCAGTCGTGAGTTCGATCCCTGGTACCGATTAAAAAAACAAAAAAAGAAAGAAAGAAATACCAGCCAGATGCTGGGCCTTGCAGGGAGATCCCAGCTTGACCACACGGGGTCTCCACACCCAGGCTGTTGAGCATGAGGTAGAATCCTGCATCCTCAGTTATGGAGAGTCACTTGGCAACCAGACCACACAAGCCCCTCAGCCCCTAGAAGTGTCTTACTCTCCTACAAGGATAAGGAGAGCTGGCACAGGGTCCTGGGGCATGTTGGTCCTCCCTGGGCCATGGCAAGGGATAGCAGGGGAAATGAAGTTGTCACAGTTGAGGATGAGGGACCTGCCCTGCAAAACCCAAGCCAGGTTTATGAGAGTCCAGTTCTTCCAGGAGAACAGAGTAACCCAGCAGGAGCCAGTTCCCCTTTTATATTCAAGGAAGCTACAGCCGAGAGAAGGGCCCTGCCTGGGTGGGCCAGTGATCAAGATGAGCCGGGTGCCTATCCTCAGCGGACAGAGGAAGACAGAGGTGGCTAGGTTAGGGATGACTCATGGAAGATGTCTGACTTGAGCCATCAGTGGAGAGAGATTCCTCAGTGCCAGGAAAATCATTTGGCATAGGATCTCTATGCGGCTCCCACTAGGGTTGCCAGGCTGGTGCAGGGCTGGCAGAGACCTCCCCAGCCCTGCAGGGAGGCCCAGATCCCATCACAATGGGCACCCCAGGGCAGATCCTCTGTTTTTGGAGGGCATACATGAGTGTCCAGTGCAGGTCCTCCATTCATGTCCAGCCCTTTAGGGAGGCCTGCACATCCCTCAGTGCCCCACATCTGACTGCATGGCAAAAGGTGGAGGGTAGACTCAGGGTCTCTGAGGCATGGAGGAGTCCTGTCCTGGGCCAGGAAACCAGGGACCTGTGGGACACTCAGGGGCACCTTCCTCAAGGAGTCAAGATTCTAGTTTATCTCTAAAGGATCGCTTGGTGAGGGACAGGGTAAACAGAGGCAAGGAGGTTGTGCTTGGGAGGGCGAAGCCTATCAGATCTAGGTTTGTCGGGTATGGAAAAGACCCAGAACCAGCCTGACGGTCAACCCTGCCACAGATCCCCACCCTACTCTGCCTCATGTGGTCTCTTCCACTTGGAACTGACTCCAGGTGCCCATGGCTTCGCTGGTTAAAGACTTTACATGGAGCCCAGCTGCATAGGATCCTAGGTAGTTCCAGGGAAAGCCCTACAAGCAACTTTGGGGAGCTAAGGTCCCAGCCAGGCCTTTCTGAGACATCTTACCAGGTCCCATCATCCACATCCAGACTGACAGTAGCAAGGAGGATGCCTCTCTGATTGGCACCTTCAGATTCTCCAAGATCTCTTCTAGGGGTGGGCAACAGAGCTCAACCCCTTCTTTGTCCCTCAGGACCCCAGAGATCAGGAGGACCATGTGGATAGCATGGCTGGGGCAAAGGTCCCACAAATGGAGCTCAGGAACCATTCTGTCCTCCTGCCCAGGGTACTGAGTGCAGGGAGCTCCCCCTGGAGGAAGAGGGCCTGCTGGGACTTGGGGTTCACTTTTTACTTGGGATCTCTGCCATGGGACAGGGGCTGCACATGGTTCCCTCCACACTAGGACCTCTCCATAATGCTCTGGCACAGGTAGAGGACGCCATGTTGGACACCTATGATCTTGTGTATGACCAAGCGGTGAAGAGCCCATCTAGCATTCACTGGCAGGAGCTGGTTGCCATCCAGGACACAGTAAGCTGCAGAGAAAGCCCCGGGGTGCTCAACCTCATTGTGATCTGGAGAATGGATCCCAACAACCCCTGCCCCCCCCCCCCCCGTGTCAACTATTTCAGGCCAGGTACTCAGAGGAAGGGCTCCCAGGATGCAGGCCATGGCTGCTCCTTTGGGGGTTGGGGGCAGAGCGTAAGGAATGCTTGTCCTGGGAACAGGGAATAGGGCTGGCTGCTGAATGTTTGGGACCAAAAAAACTAAGAATTTCAATACAGTGAGAACAGCACTGAAGAAAGCAAGTTTCCCATGTGCCTTACACAGGCCCCATTGTGAGAAGGTTGCCAGCCTCAACTCCCAAGCAAGGTCACTTCAGAAATCAGGCTATACCACTCCAAGGTTAGGCTGCAGATGACTGTAATAGAATCAGCTTTGACACCCTGGGGGGAGGGCAGTTCTGCAGGACCTACGTAGGTCATTTAACCTTCTGGTGCCTCACTTTCCCCTTGTGCCATGCCCACTCTCTGTAGTTTCTGTGCTGTGGGAAAAGATCTCCTTTCGGACTTCTAGAAAGCTCAGAAGCTGACCTGTGTCAGGGTGAAGAGGCTGCAAGAAAGGTGAGGAGCAAGAGGAGGGGACCAAGACATGGCCAGGCAAGAGCCCTGGGGACACGCCTGAGATCTAGGAACATCTTACACTCCTTGGTCTCTCCACCAAGGAGCCGGCTACAGAAGGGCTCAGGGGAGGCAGGAGGCAGCAGGATGTACATGAAGCTGTCCAGTAGGTGTCCAGCTGCCCTGGATGCAGGTCACATGTCCACTCACTCCCCCAGCTAGGGGAGATCTACTTTCCGAAACTTCTAGAAGCTCACAGACAGGGTCTCAGTGCCAAGTGCCCTTAGATCAGGGTGTCAGCTCTGTCTGGGAGAGGGGCAAGGGTTTGGAGGAGCCCCAAAAGGAATAGAACAGCACTCCACAGGAGAGGTGGTGCTGAAAGGGCAGTCAGATAGGCCTTGGCCCATTCTCCTTGAAGCCTGGACCAGGACTCACCCTCCCTCTCTTCCCTGCTGCTGCTGCTGCTGCCCAGCCCCCTCCAGCACCTCCCCCGTGTCCTGGAAACAAACTCACCCTATCTCATGGCTTGAGGTGCCTGGCAACCCTCCAAGAAACAGAGGAGGATGGGGATGGCTGAAGGCCCAGTGGGGGAGGGAGTCATAGCAGCCGCCCCAAGGGCCAGCAGGGCGACGTGCTGGGGAGGAGCTGAGAGTCGAGTCGGGGAGGCTTATCCTCCCAGGGACAGTCGCAGGTCCCGACTCAAAACCAGGGCCAGGGTCTTCCCCAAACACCCCAGAGTGGCAAGGAGGCATGACCTGGCCACAAAGGGCCCTGGGAAAAAAATCCCAGCACAAGCAAGCTGGGATAAGAGGACAACTTGTCCACAGGACAGCGGAGTGACTCCCTGAATGTCCATGTGGCCCAGTCCTTCCTCAGCCTCCCTGAAATGCCACCAACCTGCTTCAAAACCAGATGATATCATTTCAAGGCTCAGAGACAAGCCATTACCTCCTTCTTCCATGAATCTGTGCCCAGGGGTGGCATTGGAGGCCTAGCTGAAGCCAGGACCTTGGCATACCAGGGGGGCACCTTGTCTCTCCACCACTGTTTCCCTGCCCTCCCCATTAGCCAGTACCCTCTGGATACCAAGGAACCAGGTTGGCCTTGGGCTGCACAGTGAAACCAGACATATAGCACAATGCAAGAGCTTAGGGCAGCGGGCAACCCAGGAGGAAGCAACAGCTTGACCCCAGGAAAGTGGCCCCTCAGTCTCCGCAGAGGCCAGCTCCGTGGCCCTTGTTCTCACCTACCCATGACACTGCATCCCAGTGCTCTCTGGTATGGGCCTTGTGCTCTTAGCTCCTGTGAGTTCACTTGCATCGGCAGGGTGGGTGACATGCACACTGCCCTCTGCCTAGGACTGCCTGCAGAGCATCCAGAGCTTCCTGAGAGTACAACAAAACATCGTCTCTATGCTAACCAGTGCCGGCCTGGCCCTCACGGTACCCCACACTCCCTAACTGCCCCTGCCCCCCTCCTTGCCCTTTGCCCTGCTTAGCCCTCAACCTCATGGAAGGGCAGGGTAAGGCAACTCCCAGGTTATAGCCCCAAGCCAGGACTTCTGGTCTTGGGCATCCCCAGGGTTCTCTCAGCCTGTTCTTTAGGGAGGTGACCCAGGGTGACAGTGTCTGCTTCACTCCTCTCTCAAGGCAGCTGGGCTCTTCCCAACTCTACAAAGCCCAGAGACTTCCTAGGATGGAGCGAGACTCCCACGCTCGTGTTGCTGTTGATGGTTGAGATTTTCAGGCCTCCTCCTTCCCCAGGTATATGCCATGCTGCTCAGCTCCTTCCTCTGGTTTGCCATCCACTTTGGCTACAACTTGGACCGCAAAGGCACATACACGGTGACTTCACGGTAGGCTCCCACCGACACCCACTCACTCTCCCCAGAGGTCTCCAGTCCCCCTGCATGTGCACCTCCCACTGCTGAGGTGTCCCCTCTGCCCAGGAGGCAAGTCCCTTGGGCCAGGGACCAACCTTGTTCTCCAGAGGGAGCACTTTGGGGTATCCAGCCACAATGGAGGTACAGACCAACATGTGCTCCACTCTGCTGTCTCTAGTTCCTGCTTAGACCTGGCCTTAAACCTGCCATCTCCGGTGACACCAGCACAGAGAAATGGATGCTTTGTAGTCCGGGCCAGAGTCCCCAATCTTTGGGAACACCAGGGCTCTTCTGCATAGGGCAAGGAGGACCCAGATCTAAAAGCCAGGAAGGACCTACTGCTCCCATGGCACACAGGCCGCTTTACTCCACCCTGGCTGGATGGGCCCTCCCTATCCTGGCATCCTGCCTTCCCTCAAGAACATTCTGCAATAGACTCCCCCCCCCCCAGAACATTCTACACTTGCCTCACAATCTGTTCTAGAAAGTTCCACTGCAGCTTTATGGTTTGCTCTAGAATGTTCTACAGTGGTGTCCCGGTTTCCTCTAGAACATTCTACAGCAAATCCATAGACCCCTCTAGAACATTCTGAGGTGTTCTAACCTTGCAATTGCCTCCAGAGAATGCTATGACAGCTTCACAGTCACCTCTAGAATTTCTGAAACACATTCATAGTCTTCTCCAGAACATTCTAGAAGAGTTTCAACACCTCTTTTGCTTCCCAGAACCCATGGCTGCCAGCCCCAGGAGTCCAGCTTCTTCAGACGTTCTCAGGAAGGGACCTGTACCTCGACATTCCTCTGAAGTGGAGACTGTTGCTGATTATTAGGACCTAGGTCCTTAGTGGCCCCAGGCTCTGTTCTGATCTCCTGTCCTGCCATTTGTCTGCCTATGGAGCCAACCCTTGTGTGACTGATCCTAAAGGGAGCTATCCTCCACATGGTGAGGCCTGGAGAAGGGGAAAAGACTCACCTCTGGGCCCTCTGCAGAGTAGGTGTCAGCCTATAGGGAATAGGGCAGGGTGAGGGAGACAGGCCAAATATCAGGGAACTCAGGGCAAGCACAGCACTGGTAAGGATGCTGCCTGATGACTGCCACCATTTGTTCTTTGTGTTTTGTAACAAATAGCACACATGTGGTGGCTTAGCACTGCACCCATTCACTCTGGTATGGTTTCTGGGTCAGACTCCTGGTGGCTTGGGCAGGCTCTCTGCTCATGAAGCGAAAACCAAGGGGACAGGAGGACTAGGCCTGATCCAGAGGCTGCTGGGGGAATGTCCTTCCAGGGTATTAGAAGAATACAATTTCTTGGAGTTGAAGGCCTGATGTCACTTGTTATTTGCTGGCTGGAGCAAGGGTCTCTCTCTCTGCTTCTTGAAGTCACCCCATTCTTCCTATGTCCCTTCCATCTTCAGACCAAGGTAGGCTGAAATGTCCATGTGGGAGGATTTTCATGGTTCAGATTCTCTGACTTCTGCCAGCTGGAAAAGTTCTCTGCTTGTGAGGCCCCATGAAAAGTTTGGCCCACTCAAATAATCTCCTTACTTTATATGGTGATCAAATACGCACAACCTAAAGTTTCCATCATAACCCATTTTTAAGTGCACAGTTCAGGGCATTAAGCACATTCACATTGTTGTACAACCACCACCACCAGCCATCTCCAGAACTTACTCTTTTCCTTCAAATCCTCCAATGCTTCCTAGAGGCTATCCTATGAATGGAATCCTACAGGATTTGTCCTTCTGTTGGCTGGCTTGTTTTGTTTACATAAGGTTCTCCAGAGCCATCCAAATTGTAGCACATGTCAGAACTTCCAAAAGACAAATCTTCTCAGATTTATAGTGGCCTCACAGTCACTTATTCCAAGAGCTTAAGGCTGGACATGGAACAGTCAGGGACTGAGAAATCCTATCTCTTACAGCACTGTCTCTGGGCAATCAGGCCATTTCAATGATGAACCATCTAGCTGTCTCTGAATGTTTGCATAATTTCCTCAAACTCGTAAGGGCTAGAGATATCATGTTGGCCCAGCCCAGACTGAGGTCCCAGGGAAACTCACAAGAACTTCCACAGATATGAACTGTGTTCCAACCCGACCAACCAAGGGATAAGGGAGGCTCTCAAACTAAGAACTATCATATGATGGGCAGCCACAAAGTGACAAAGGCCCACTACGCCACCTTTGTTCTCCTGCTGACACATACATCCTTCCTCCCTTCTTGATTCCTCCTATAGAAAGCTCCCATGTCCTATAAAGCCTTCTGCAGCCAACCATGCACAAGACTTATGCCCAGAAGACCATGTTCTGCATCTCAGGTGACAGATGTTCCTCCTCTGGTTCCCTTCGTATCATCTCACCATTCTGCAAACTATAGAATGATCATTAGGGAAGCACCAACAATACATCCCACATGCTACAATGGTGAGAAGAGAAAAGAGAAAAGGAAGTGAGATAAATTTATACAGCATAATTAAAACAGAAATTCCAACAGATGCCACGCTGAAGATGCTCATCTCTGTGGTTGTCACCATGCCATAGCTGCATTCATGGCCTGTGTCCTCCACACATGCTCCGTGTTCCCCAACTCTGCCTTCTTCCAAAGCTTATCACCAATTAGGTGGGGTGAAGACGGACACTGGGGCCACCTAGGCCCACTCATGTTAAGCAGCAGCCTCCCTATGTCCTCTCATTAGAGTCACCATCACCAAGCCGCCTGCATGTTCTTTTAACCCAGTGACAAAGAAGCTCAGAATGGTCAGGTGCATCTCTTGCTCCCAGCACCCTGATAAGATCATTTTGTTCTCCAGTAGAAACCTTCCTTCATTTGGCTAGTATGATCTCTAACTCAGGAAAGCAGGATCTACCAGGGCCAAGAAGCAAAATTGTTGAGAATGATTCATTGGCTGTAATCATAAGGGTTGTTACCTCAGTTTTACCCTTCAGGCTCCCATCCTGTGGGTTCTGGTTTGAGGAATGGCACCATTCTCTGGCTATGGGTAAGGCTGTATTGGTAAGAAAACCCTGCAATCTTGCAGCAGCATCTCCCACTGTGGTCCTGAATGATGCCCAATAAATCATCCCAGTGTCCCACAGGGCAGCCTTGTTTGAGTAATAGCATAAATGTCAACCCCAGTGAAATTCATGAGACCTACCCCTGGTCTTATGTCTTCAGATGTTAAGCCAGTTCCTTGACCCAAAACAGTGATATGTGGTGCTATGGTTTGTGTGTCCCTCAGGGCTTTCTGTGCTGGAGTTTAATCTCCACTGTGGGGGATTACAAGGGTGGAAGCTTAATCTCATGTGTTTAGAGGCAGGGCCTTAGGATTAGAGACGGTGTGCTCTATTTGGCAGCATATATACTAAAATTGGAAGGATTAGAGAGGGTCACGAGAGTAGAGCCCCATAGTTGGACTCTGGTGACTTTATGAGAAGAGAGAACAAGACCACACAGATGTATACTCATATCCCCTGTCATTTAGCATGCAATGCCCTGCCCAGCCTCAGGACTCTGCCAGCAAGGATGCCTTCACCAGATGTGACCCTGGTCCTTACATCTGCCATATAAACCTTGTTTCTTCAGAAGTATCTTGCTTCAAGTATTTCATTATAGTAATTATTCATGGGCTAATATAGGAAATCAGTACTGAGAGCAGGACCAATACTATACTGTACCTACAAGTGTGGAAATGACTTTGGAATTGGGTGGCTGGCAGTGGAAAGAAGGGTTTGGAGGGGCCAGCCAGGAAATCCTTGAGTGCTGCATGTAGTCCCTATGGGCGTTCTGAAGACAGCTCAGGGGAAATTAGGAAATAAGGGCAAAGCTAGGTTGGTTTAGAGAATGTCAGACATATGCTGAGGGACGTGTGGACAGATAAGTTTTCAAATGGAAATAAGGGCTCTGTTGGAAATTGGATTTAAGGCTGCTTTTGATACATTGCAGCTAAGACCTTGGGTGCATTATGTCCATGCCCTGAGACTTGGTGGAAGGCGGAGTTTAAGGATGAATTAAACAGGATGTGGTGGGGCCCGCCTATAATCTCAGACCTCAGGAGGCTAAGGATTCTTGCTCCAGGAGGATCTATGAGTTTAAAGCCAACCTGAACTACATAATGAGACAAGAGAGAGAGAGAGAGAGAGAGAGAGAGAGAGAGAGAGAGAGAGAGACAGAGAGAGACAGAGACAGACAGAGACAGACAGAGACAGAGAGAGAGACAGAGAGAGACAGAGACAGAAAGAGACAGACAGAGAGAGAGAAGAACAAGGAAATAAAGAAAAAAGAATGATGGGCTAAACCAACTGTAGAGGCACACACCTGTAATCTCAGGCCCTCAGGAGGCTGAGGCAGGAGGACTGCAAATTGAAAGCGAGCCTGTGCTACATTGTGAAACTCCATCTCAAAGAAAGCAAATACATAAATAAAAGAATCATATGAACTTTATTTGTTGAAATAGATTTCAATATGATAAAGCATTCAGGGGTGGGATGGGTGTTACTGTCTGCTTTCAGTCAGTTACAGGGAGATTCAGGAGTGAAAGGAAGAGGAGCAGAGAGACTTGGAAAATTCCTAGCCTGAGCATAAAGATCAAGGAAAACTGAGTATAAGAATACAAAACAGAACTCACTTACTGAAAATAATATTGCACATCAAAGGGAAACATGCTTTGCATCAGAATAGTTGGAAAAAGTCTTCCAGTTATCTCAGAAATCTTGGTGAAAACTCTGCTCTGGGGTGTCTGGTCAGTGGAGGGATCTCTAAGTCACCTGTGTATAGGGACAGACATCTTCCAGACACGGTCAAATTGCATTCCAGATACTGGTCTCAAATGATGCGGTCACCAACTCCGCATGGGAACTCTGCTTTGCAAACATCCTTTTCCATGCATCTAAACATTATGCTAGTCTGGTAGGGGCCAGACGGCACTGCCTCCCATTTCTCCGCTGATGGATCAGGTTTTTATATCTCTAATTTCTACTCTGTGAGACACCTATCTATGCCTCTTGCCCATTGCTGGATGGTGTAATGCACCCCTTCTTGCTGAGGTATGGGGGAGATCTTATGTATTGCTTGTTAGAGATCATGTGTTGTTTACTCGTGTGGTAAATGTCTGTGGCTTGGCTTCTGCTCTCCTTATGATCACTTTTGGTGAACAGATATCTTCTGTTTTCTGTCTCTTTGTGACAGTTTGGTACAGAAAAGCAATGGAAGAATTGCTTGATGGTTAATTCTAAGTGTCGCCTTGGCCAGGGCACAGCTGTTTGTCCAACACCAGTCTAAACGTTTCTATGAGGATGTTTTCCCATGTGCTAGGCATTTGAGTCAGTAAGCTGGGAGCAGAGCATCTCATGGAAGGAGGAATTCAGCCTTGAGACTGATGCAGAACTCTGTGTTTCGTCTGCCGGTCTGACCTGTAGGGGTCAGGCTCAAATAAATCTGGGTTTGTGTGTAGAAATGCATGTGTAAGATGCAGGATATTAGTTCTGTTTCTTTGGGGAACCCTAATAGGCCCGTCACCTACATAAGAGCGGTGGCAGGTATTTGCCTCGATCTGTGCCCTGTGGAGGCTCTAACGTGAAGGCATCATCCAGAAAGCCACTTCCTGTTCTTTGCATAGGCTGCAAAACTACACTGACTCCCGTCTCTCTACCCTTTTTTGCATCCCGCTGGAAGCCAGCTGCCATATTGAGGGCAGCCCTGTAGGGATTCCAGGCAGCCACCAGCTGGAGGGAAAGTGAGGCCCTCTCAGGAGCTGAAACATCCCCAGTCACTAAGAGCGCACAGAAGTGGGTCCTGCAGGTGAGCATACCGCCCTGGCCACTGAGAGTGGCCTCAAAAGAAAACTTGGGCCAGAAGATTCACCACTAAGCTGTGCTCCAATTTTTGCCTCAAAGAAACTTTGAGACAGCAGATGCTTTCTGTTTTTTTCCAGTGCAGCTGAGCTTATAGATTTAATAAAACTACCAAAGACAAAATATGCTTTTAAAAGCTACAGTTTTTAGCCAAGCATGGTGGCTCACATCTGTAATGCCAGCACTTGGGAGGCTGAGACAGAAGGATTACCCAAGAATCTGAGGCCAGCCTGAATTACACAGGAAACAGTGTCTCAAAAATAAAAAATAAAATAAACATGTAGAAATCTATAGTTTTTAATCAATATATCAAAAATCATTTTAAAACACAATTTTGGTACCAAACCTTAACAATTTGAGACCACTATTTACAAAATCTCTAAATGTAATTACAGAACTGAAAAAGATAAAACTATAATTGTAAAACTAAAAAAGATAAAGAAATGAGACAAGTTTATTTTTAACATGACCATTAAAAAGAGCCAAGCAATGAAGCAATTAAGACATACCAGCACGTGAATGAGCAGTGAATGATAGGTAACAGGGAATTTTCTGGAAAAGTGCAAATGGCTAATAAACATGGAGAGGTGCCCAGCTTGAATATGGAGGGGAAGAAGCAAATGTAAAGTGAGCTGTTACCTTCTGGGCTAGTTCGTGACACAGCCGTCTGAAGAGGCACAAGATGTTGCAAAGAATCATGCAGCAAGCAGGCCTGGGTACACCCTGTGCCAGGCTCCCCCGGGGCTGATGCATGCATAACCACAGAGTCAACACCCACGAGAACCCACAGCGTAGCTCTGCATCCCACAGCTGGTCACAGGCTCACCTGCACCTCTGTGTGTGCACCCCTGTGAGTGAGACTCGTGCAACGTCATTGTGCAGGTTACTTTATGAGACCGCCACCAGAGTCAGCCCCCACCGCCATCTCCCTCCTGCTGCCACGCCCTCTTTGATGGATAATCTTGCTTACCAGTTTGGCTGGGTTGAGAGACAGTTAGAAGATAAGTAACGTGGATGTCTGGGTGTGTCCCTGTGGGTGGTGGGGTGGAGATTTGGGGACTGTGTGTGGCCCCTGGCCTCTTCTTCTCTGCCTCTTCTCCTGTTCTCTGCAGTCCAGAGGCCATGAGGAAGGCAACCTTCCTCTGCCCTACCCTTCCTGTGTGAAGCTTCTGCCTCACCCAGGGCTAAATCAATGTAGACAGCTATGAATTAAAACCTAGCTGGGCTTGGTAGTACACATCTATAAGCTCAGCACTTGGGAGGCTGAGGCAAGGGGATGCCCACAGGGTCTAGGCCAGTCTGAACCACATAACAAAACTGTGTCTCAGAAAACAACAACAAAAATCTCTGAAACCATGAGCCAAAATGGATCTTTTTTCCTGTAAATTTCCTCCACTCAGGCCTAGGGATTGAACCCAAGGTTTTCACAGAGCTATATCTCTGACTTTTACATTTTTATTTTACTTTATTTCATAACAAAGTCTTGCTAAATTGCTAACTTGTCCAGACTGGGTTTGAACTTGCAATCTGCCTGCCTCAGTTTCCTAGAGTGCTGGAATTATAGGACGCAGTACCAAACCAGGTTCTTAAGTTGTTTGTTTGAAGTATTTGTCATGGTAACAGACATCTGGTTAACACACCCATAAACCTCCCCAGCAATCCACAGCCCTGAAAACCACTAATCTGTTCTCCATCTCCATAGCAATGTCATTCCAGGAACATTATGATTACATGACCTTCGGGGCTGACCTTTGTCACTCAGCATAATTCTTTTGAGATCTGCTTATGCCCTGGTGTGTAATGATACTCTTTTCCTCTCTACTTCAGACTGATGGTTTACGGTGGGGAGGGGGGAGCACAAATTTGTTTAACCATCTGTTTTTAAGGCACATTTTGATTGATTCCAGTTTGGGGCTATTATAAAGAAAGTATCCATGACTGTCCATGTCCATTTTTATGAGTGGACATGGATTTTCTTTGCTTTTGAACAGATGCCTTAGTGTGCAACTGCAGTTCACATAGTACTTAAGTCTTTATGTTCCTAAGAAACTGCCAATTTGCTTATGTCTATAATCTTAGTACTTGGGAAGCAGAGGCAGGAAGATCACAAGTTTGAGGCTAACCTGGGCTGCATAAAAAAAGGCCCTCTTTCAAAACTCAAAAAGAACAAAGAAGAAAGAAAGAAAGAGGCAGACAGGAAGAAAGGAAGGAGGGAAGAAATGAAGGAAGAAAAGAAGAAAGAAAGAAAGAAAGAAAGAAAGAAAGAAAGAAAGAAAGAAAGAAAGAAAGAAAAAGAAAGAGAGAAAGAGGGGCTGGGGGTTTAGCCCAGTGGTGTAAGTGCCTGCTTGGCAAGTGCAACGTTGTGAGTTTGATTCCCCCCCCCCAAAAAAAAAGAGGAAAAGAGAGAAATCTGCCAACATTATATTCTTATCTTCCAGATGAATCTTCTCTTTTTCTTTTCCTAACATTCTTTTGGGTAGTTTCTCTTTGTTCTGGTCGTTGTTTTTGGGTTTTTATGATGCAGTTTACCAGACTGCTAATTTTATTCATCTTCTGGGGGAAGCTTTGACTGCTGGCCCTCTCCATTGTATCTTTCTACCATCTCATTCGTTTCTTATCGGTACTGGGGAACAAACTCACTACCACACACTTGCAAGGCAGGCACTTATGCCGCTATGCTAAATCTCCAGCTCTGTCTGATTCATTTCTACCCTTGTGTGTTTCCTCTTTCCTCCTGCACTGTGTGGGTTGGTCCTGCTCTGCTTATCCTAGCGTCTCCAGTAGATGCTCAGCTCACTGACTTCTAGCCTTCTCACTAAGTACCAAGACACATTTCCTCCCAGTGCACTGCGCTGTATCCCATGAGTTTTTAAGGTAGCTTTTCAGTACCCTTCACTTGTAAATATTTTTAAATTTCCATCCGAATTTCTTGTATGGTCTATCAGCTATTCAGAATAAAATGTTTTAAATCACCTTGTCATGGACTTCTGACTTTCTCCAGCAGGTGAGAGAGTACAGTGTGAAGGGTAGCAATGCTTTTGACTGTGGTTGAGAACCTAGCAGAGCTGGCATGGAAGAGCTAGCTTCCAGAGCATCCTGAGAGAAGACAGCTCTACCTATTCTCAGAGTGCTTCTGCAAGCCTGGCCCTGTCCTCCTCTGTCCTGGTCTTGTCCTGACCAGAGGAGGGTGACAGCCTCCTCCCAAATGGCCTGCTACTGGGTCAACTGGGGACACCCCTAGTCCACAGTGGCCTGACTTGCTGCTAAGCATGGGTGCTATTAGGGGCAGCCATAATCCTGCCAGCTGTCCCTTATCAACCCCAACATGGCCTTTCAGTGTCCCAGCTGGGCTGGCCACAGGCTCTCAGGATGTCCTTCTGGCTCTTTCCCCTGCTTCAACTCCCTATAACAGGGTCTAGAAAGTTCTGTAGAAGCTGCAGCCAGACCTAACCAAGGCTTCACTGCACATCTGTCCTGCAAGAGCCTTCGCATGGCAGCCAGGCCCTTCCCTCCCCGGCTGGATGTGCAGCTGCTCTCCAGTGTTTGCTGCTAAGCAATAAGGTCTGAGTGATCCTGTGGGGCTCCATGGCTGTGTCCTTCTTACTGTGGCAGCTGCCCTGTTCTCAGTCTCTAAGCTGCACATACACGGTGAACAGGCTCCTGCTAGACAAACACATTTCACAAGTTTACAATCTAAAAACTGCCAATGAGGCCAGCAGTTCCTTCCACAGCCAATCTTGCTCTGAGCCCCAACTCCCAGTCTCTCACTCCAGGATACCAATGGCCTGTAGTTTTGCACCAGGCACTGCTCCCCTACACAGATCCTAACTCAGTGCTAACTCAACCCCTTTCCCAGGTGGAGAAACTGAGACACTGCTATCAGGAGAAGGTGACTCTGGGCTATGCGGCTTCTTACTGCAGAGCGGGCAGACGAGGATGGTCCAACCAACAGGCACCTCCATAGGGCTCCTGCCTGGGGTCCTGAGGCCCTGCGTTGTATCCACTGAAGACAGTGTAGTATACTTTTATACAGGCTGGTATAAAAGTAATTTGTGTGCCGGGCGTGGTGGCTCACACTTGTAATCCCAGCACTCCGGAGGCTGAGGTGGGAGGGTCGTTATGAGTTCCAGACCAACCTGGGCTACAAAGTGAGCTCAAGGCCAGCCTGAACTGCATAGCAAGACCCCATTTCAAAAAAAAAAAAAAAGTAATTTGCAAAGTCAAAGAACACTTAAATTCTCGGACCCAGCCAGGAGGACCTCATCTTCTCAGTCATGTGGGAGGCCAAAGGAATGGGACATTGACAGTAAGTTATTGTAGTCACTGCTCCAGGTCCTATGGGCCTTGCAGGCCTCATAGTGTCAATGTCTTATAGCAGCACACCCTGGGGCCAAAACGGGGTATCCAGGAATATGGCCCCAGGTGCATCACAGTGCTCAGTCCCATTAGCCCAGTGTGGCTGATTGCCTCACCTCATCTGCATGGTTGGGGAGCCACAACTCATCTTCTTCAATTGTTTCTTAGGTGTCACCTCCCTGGACAGCCTGCTGGCAGCTGGAGGCATTCAGGTATTCTCCTGGGCCAACTCACTCCCAGGCTATAAAGATGCACATTCCTAATGGGTAAAAAAGGGCTGGTGACTCCCAGCAGCAGCACAAGGGCAGCTGCTTAGCTGATTAGGAGCAGACCCTGGGTCACCAGCTGCTGCTTATCCCAACCTCAGCCCTGGGGTGGATCCTCCAGTTGGGCTGGTGCTGGGTCCCTTAGAGAAGTCCAGAGCCTGTTCAGTGTGTGGAGGAGCTTGGTCCCTCTCTGCTTGTAGCCAGGCCTGAGGAGTTGCTTCAGAGCCTCTGATGTGGGAAGATCCCTCTGAGTTTCCTGGAAGGAGCTGCCCAGCTTTCTCAGCGTTAGGCCTGACTCCTCACACAACCTACAGTCAGGAACTCTGACAGCCCCACCAGCAAGGAAAAAAGACCAGCAGCCATTCAGGAAGCCAGTGCTAGAAAGGGAAGAAAAGACAGGGGTAGGAGCACATCCCGACAGCCAAAGTGAACTCCAAGCAAAGGCCCAGTATGGGGAAGGGGCTGTGCATATGATGAGAGTGTGCAGACATGTATGTGCACATGCATGTGTGTGTTGGTCAGAGGGAACACAGGAAACTGAGTGCCCAGTATCCTGGTATAAGGGCCTACTGTGTCAGAAACAGCAAAGTCAGTAGGTGGGAGGTCATTGACATCACTCGGTTCAGAAATGCGGCTAGAGCAGGGAAGATGGGGTCAGGCTGGGGTCTCAGTGAGTGGCTGGCAGAAGCAAGAAGGGACAAGGCAGTGCTGGGGTGTAAGGTCCATCACCACTTCCTAGACACAAGAAACCATTCTGGCCCATAATGACCAGATGGGAGTGACCTATACCCTGTCCAGGCCTGGCCCACTCCCAGCCCTCCTTGCCTCTACCATTGGGAAACTAGAAGCCACTAAGCCTGCTGGTGCAGCCCTGGAAGGAGGAGGGATTCAACCCACATCACATAGATAAGAGATGGCAAAGTCCATGTGTCAGCCTGACTAGCCACAGAGCTCGAGGCTGAACACTGCAAGGGGTGAGGGTGATGGAGGTGTTTTTTCTGGAAGAGACCAGCAGCTGAACCAGAGGACTCCATAAAGCAGACAGTCTTCCTCTGTGTAGCTGACAGTCTACTGAGATCCTGAATAGAACAGAAGGTGGAGGAAGGAAGAATTGCCTCCTTTTCCTGCCTCTTTGTTGAGCTGGCACATTGGTTTCTTCCTGCCTTTGGTTGGAAATTTATATCATCAGAATTCCTGGGTCTCATCCTTTCAGATGTGGACTGAATTTCTCCACTAACTGCCCTGGGTCTCCAGCTGCAGACAGGAGATGGTGGGACTTCTTGGCCTCCAAAACTACATGAGCCAATATGTCATTTGAGATAAACAGATCCGAAGATATGCATAACTTCTGTTCTTCTGGAGAATCCTAATACAAATTTGAGTAACAAGAGGAATTTATGGAATTTGCTCTCTAAGCTGATTAAAGATACTAAGGATTCTATTAGCAGTATAAAGAAGCCAGGAGCTAAGTAACTCTGTATGCGATACTTCTGAACATTTCTAGAAAACTAAGGGCCTTAATGACATTTCTTGATTGCTCTTAATGTTATGGGGGCAGAATGCTGAAAGAGAAGATGTGTTCAAGGGTTTGATGCCTCTGTGAGGCACCACAAAAAGGGCCTAAAGGGATCTTGGATGCACCCTGAGAGGCAGTTTGTCTCCTGCAGTTTCAAATGCTGAAAATTAAATACTGAGCACAGCCTGGAGGAATCACAAGGCAAGTTGGAGTTCAGCCTCCTGGGGTGTGTTGTGTACTGGTGGAGGAAGAGCAGTGGCTATCAAAAAGCAGAATTCCAGAGACTGGGATGGGAGCGCACAAGTAGACCCCGATGAGACTGGGAACGAAGCAGAAAGAGGTAGCCAAGGAAATGACAGAGAAAAGAAGGAAGGGTTTGCCTTGGAGCCCACTTTTGGGACAAGGTTTACCTTCAGTTAAACATTAGGACCAGGACCAGCATATCCAGGTCTAAATGCAATGGATGAAAGTAACCAGACAGTTCATACTCAGGAGGTCCACGGGGCATGCACCCAGAGGCCTTTGCTCAGTGGTCTTCAGCAAGCAACCCTTGGCCAACCCTAGCCCAAATCACCATGTCATCAACTGTGCAATTTTGACCACACAGTGGGTTTTGGATGCCATAATAGTTCCCTCTGTCAACAACCCCTTTGCCCAATGCAAGCCCCTCACTGGCAAGGGAAAAAGCCTTAGATCAACTCCTCAGTCTCATTCCAACCTTAATGCTTAAAACTTCAGCAGAAAGCTCCCTCTGGGCTGCAAGCTCTTCACACTAGCTTGCTCCCACCCTGGGGAATATACCTTTACTTGACAAATAAAGGTATATTCTTGCTGTTTGTTCTTGCTGTTCCTTTTGTGTGTCCTACTCAATCATTTGTTCAAGACATCAAGAATCAGTTCAAGACCCCCAATCTGGTTATAGGGACAGGAAGTCCCTAAGTTCTGATGAGCCTTCTTCACCAGTGGGTGGCCTTCCTAGTTCTTCCTGAGGGTTAGCCCTGCATCACCTAAGGGAATTTCCCTTAGGGCATCTCCCAGGGAGCAGCTGCCAGGAAAGAGTGCGGATCCTTCTCAGCACCACCCACGGCCCTCTTTACTTCTGGACCTACAACTGCTGTCAGGTCTCAGGAAGGCCTAGGAGAGGTGTAGAGTGGGACACAGTGAGACATGCTACCAAATATTCCTTGAGTTTTCTAAGTTACACAGACTGCAATTCATTGAAAAAGAAAAGAAAGAAATCCAGTGAATACATGTGGAAATAGACACAGAGGGAGTGAAATATGCCGGGAGGAACAAACTGTAGGGTTGAACTGAGTTTATGGATATGGCCCACTGAACACAGACACCGTTTCCAACATTGCAGTCTGGTGATGCAAATAGTCTGAAGCCCTGGGCAGGTCCCATAGGTGAGTCTCAGCACAGAGCTTTAGGATTTTGCAGCAAAGCCCTGCAAACAATGACTTCCCTTCTGAGAACTAGCTCTTGGCCTGCTACTCAGCTCTGACAGAAACTGAATGACCATCAAGTTCCCAAATGAGCGTGCCCAACATCAGTGGGCCCACCAAGCCAAAAAAATTGGGCTTTCACCCACAGCAGTAATCCATTATCAAACAGAAGTCTGGTATGTGATTAGGCCCATGTCTGAAGACATAAGTAAGTTATACGAAGTGACCAAAATTCCCAAGGCACCTTCTCTTATATTGATGCCTTCTCCCACCTATACCCATGGCCTCACAGAGAAATAGTGCCCAAGAGCAGCGGCCTGAGGACAAAAAGACTCAGGCCTGAGCTACAGAGGGTTCTGCCTGAAATGCAGGCGACACCAGAAATAGACAGATACAGCACTGTAGCCCTCTCTGGGACGTCCCTGGGGACAGTAGTGAGCAGGATCTGCCCAGGGGACAGAATTTTGGACTGCTTGGAAGGCGAAATGACTGGGCCTGTGGTATATGCATATTCATGGACTGTGGCCAAAGGTGTGGCTAGGAACATGGAGAGAACATAATTGGAAAACTGGTGACAAGGAATTTGGGGAAGAGGTTTTAGATAGACCTCTCTGAATGGGAGAAGGATATGGAGATCTTTGTATCTGTGTAACTATTTTCCAAAGGGTGACCTCAAAAGAGGGAGTCTTTAATAATCTACTGAACAGGGTGACCCATTCTATGGATACCTGATGACTTCTTTCCCAGTCATTCCTGATATTGCCCAATGGGCCTATGAACAAAGTGGCCATGGAGTTCAGGGATGAAGGTTATGAAGGACTCAGCAGAAGTACTTCTGTTTACTAAAGTTGGCCAACTGCAGCCCCCACCTGGAGTCCAATATGCCAGCAGCAGAGGCAAACTCTGATCCCTTGGTATGGCACCGTTCCCTAGGGTGATCAGCCAGTGACCCTGTGGCAAGTTGATTACACTGGGTGGCTTCCACCATGAGAGAGGGAGTGTTTTCTCCACACTGTAGTAAATTCATGCTCTACATATAAATCTGTCTTCCCTGCATGCCCTGTTTTTTCCAAAATTACTATCTATGGACTTACAGTAGGCCTTATCGACCATCATGCTATTTCTCACATGTCTTAGTCTGCTTGCACTGTTATAACGAAGTACCTTAGACTGGGAAACTTATACACAACAGAGATCAATTTCTTACAGTTCCAAAGCCTATGAATTCCAACCTCAAGTTTCCAGCAGATGCAGTTCTGGGGAAGGTGTGTTCCCATAGGTGGCAGCCTAGACCCGCTGTCAGCCTGAATTTAAGCAGTATTAGGACAGCCCAGACCTGATGTCATCCTGAGGAGTGAGAGATACAAAAAACTACAGTCCACACTGAGATTTTGCTACTGTGTCCTTACACGGTGTTGGTTGACTCCTTCTGTAGAGTGTGCTTATTTTCCTACTTTTATTTGACCCAAACTTGCTCGACTGAGCCTATGTCTTTTCCTTCCTATAACAAGACTGTGATACATTTGCACTTATCTTGACCAATTGTTTGGTCAGGATAGAAAGAACTTAGAAACTATCTCTGGAAGGAGACTCCAGCATCCCAACACCCAGTAACACTAGGACCACCTGTTCAATCCTGCATATAGGTATATTTTTTCTGGTTTGCATCTTCAGTGCTAGCTTGCTTTCTCCTCTGTCTTATTGGGTGTGCTTGTGTGTATGTGTGTATGAGTGGGTGTGTGCAGGGTGGGAGGTTGGTTTTTTGAGACAGGGTCTCAATATAGTTCTTGCTGGCTTTGATCTCACTATGTAGTCCAGGCTGGCCTTGAACTCACAGTGATCCTCCTGCTTCAGCCTCCTAAGTGCCAGGATTACAGGCATGTGCCACATGTCTGGTGGGTTCAAGAATTTGTACGATAATTTTGGCTTCCAGTTTTTCTCCCTGTCTAAAACGTATGTGGTTTGTACTTGCTAAGTGACATCTCCAGAATTTTTATGTCAGAGATGCCTAGATATAAAGATCTTTAGGGCAAATTTTTTAGTATAGCCCAGCTATTATGTATGCCTTCTTTTTCCTGTGTTTCAGATCTGCTGATGCAATGATACTAGCAAATGTTACCTGGTATCAGGAAAGATTTTTGTGTGACAGACAGAATGGGCCATACTAGTCACAGAAATGTGAAAGAAATTTGAAATAAATGTGAAAGAAAATGTGAGGCCTGTGGAAACCTTGCTATCCTATGTATGGAGCTCATGGTCTCTCAATGACATCTTGAGGAGTGAAGTCATGAAACAAATGGAGGAAGTTAAGAAGGTTATCTGTGCTTGTCTTGTCCAATTCTTTGTTCAGGATAGGAAGAACTTAGAAACCACCTGCAGAAGAAACTCCAGCACCCCAAAACCCCAAATAGGGTTACAAAACCATTCAAGTCAGTGTTACAGTAACACTGACTTGCTTTGGACAAAGGAACTCAATAGTCAGCAACAGCTGGGGCAACACTGGTCCCATGTCCCTGGCATTTGATGTCTAACCATGTCTCCCTAAATCCTGGAGCAGCTGGCTGGAGGGTGCAGTGGAATGGCCTCATGATGACACACTTATGTGGCAACTGCATGATAATACTTAATAGGCCAAAGCAAGCTCAGAATCAGCATCCGGTGTGTTATAGTTTCCCCCATGACTGGGATTAACATATCCAGGAATCACAAGGTAAAAAGGGAGTGGCCCCACTCATTACGGCCCATGAGACTCACTAGCAAACTTTCCCTTCTTTCCCCAGTGACCTTATGCTCCATTGGCCTGAGGTCTTGATTCCACCAGGAGACACAACAATGATCCACAGAACTAGAACTAAGATGTCACCTGCTAATTTGGGCTCCACAGGTCTCTGACTGAACAAGTTGAGAAGGCAGTTACAGTGCTTGTTCAGGAGCCTGATCCTTACCACCCAGGAAAAAATTGATTCCTTTTCCACAAGGAAGAAGAGTGTGTCCAGGTTGCAGGAGACCCCATTAGGGCATCTCCTAGTATCACCATACCCCACAATCAAGCTCAGCGGGAAACTTCAACCACCCAGTGCATCAGTACTAAGAATGGCCCATACCTTCAGGAATAAAGATGTGGATCATCCTGTCAGATAAATAACCATTCCTTACTGAGGTGCTTGCTGAAAATAAAGGGAATGTAGTATGAATAGCTGAGAAAAGTAGTTATATATATCAACTCTGACAAGTTTTTTTTTTTCATCTTTTTGAGACAGGTTCTTGCTATGCAGTTTAGGCTGGCCTTGGGCTCACTTTGTAACCCAGGTTGGTCTCAAATTTGCAGTGATCCACCTGCCTCAGCCTCCCAAATGCTGGGTTTGTAGGAGTGCACCACCATACCCGGAAACTCTGACAAATTCTAAAACCAGTTGCAACACTAGAACTATTTATCATGAGTATTTCCCCTCTTTCTGCTAAAACGTGTTTGTGTGTATATAAGCATATATTAAGGATCTTTGTTTTCATTACTATCTTAGTCCTTTATCATGTGACATAAGATGTATTCATTTATATCAGTAATTAAGTGTTGCTGAGTAGTACTTAAGTTATCAGGAGAACAGTAAGCATCACTGACAGACTTTAGCTCCTGTTGTGAGGAAGGGATCAGTGTTTGATTGTATGGTTTTGTCATGCTGGATGGACCTTGTTATTGCCTTTACCTGGAGATTAAGTATGGTTTAAGGTATGGTGATGAGAAGTAGACATGTAATGGTTAGTTTTAGGTGTCAACTGTGTACAGAGGTATCATTTCTGAATGTCTGTGAGGGTGTTTTCAGAGATGATGAATATATGAACCAGAGACTGAGTGAGAAAGACTCACCTTGCCCTGGTGGGTTGACTGAGGACCCAAGCAGACCAAACAGGCAGAAGAAAGGTAATAGCCTCCTCTTCCATCACTATCTCTCCTAACCTGGGCATGGAAATCAGTGCTCCAAGTTCCCTGGCCTTTGGACTCCATGCCTTGCATCAGTGGCCATGTCCCCATATCACAGGTCTTTGGCCTTGAAGCAGGAGTTACACCATTGACTCCCTGGTTCTGAGGCCTTTGGCCTTGGATTGAGTCCTGCAACAGATTTCCTAGTCTTCCAGCTTGCACATGGCCTTTTCAGCCTCCAAATTGTGTTAGTCAGTCTCCCTAATAAATCTGCTTCTGTATCTCCATAAATCTTAGGAGAAATGTACTGGGCACTGCTGTACTCAGCCTGGATCTTTCTTGCAGCCCAATCAACTGCCTGGTTCACAGCAGTGTCCCTCCCCAGAAAACACCCTTAGCCCAGTGGAGCTGCTTCAGCCCAGATTCCAAGGTCGCATGTATGCAACAGATGATGAGGGAGGAAGCAAAAGAC